TTTCTCTAAATCCTGCTTGAAAACAGGAGTTCTTTCTTCCACCCATTTTGCTCCTCTCATGTCATCACAGGTAGCTGAAAGAAGCTACCTGACACCTTCAACGGTCCTCCTTGGGGGATCCTGAGCCACATCCACTAGTTGATTGTACACATTTTTAACTTTCCACGTTCTCAGCAGACTTTCTACCACTACACACAAAGGCTATCTCTGCTTATGCCTCCAGTAACAATTTATGCACTGTTCTTCCAGTGTTCCCATCAATTTCTTCAAGGTTCTTCAGCTACTGATGAAGTCACAATTTCTATGTTGGTTTCATAATGCTACATAATAAATTACCCCCAAACAATAGTGTAAATAGCTGTAAAGACAATTGACTGTTTCTCAGGATACCATACATAGAATGGGTAGTTCTGATGCTTCACATGCTGCCTATTGGGAGGTAGGAATGAATAGCCAAAACTTCATGCAAATAATAGAAATGTGTATCTTGTCTGAGCTTAATTGACTTTTCTATGATTTCCTATAAGTTTGCCTAAGGACTATTTTTTTCCCTAAGTAATTGACTATTGTGCTCAAGTCAAACAAATTATGACTCAATTAGATTACAAGTACATATATTGAAAAGGAAGTTTGAGACATTTATCACTGAAATATGTAAGTAGGAATAAGGAAAGTAGGAAATCTAAGTCACCATTTATTAAACAGTACAACTATAAAGAGAGAAAATCTATGAGAGCAACTAATAATCAGGTTCTAGAGTCAGAAGAACTTAATCATTCCTTCAATGAATAATTATTGAGCTTCCACTATGTCTCAGGACCTGTTCTAGGTGTTGGGCAATATGAATGCACACAAAAAATTAAGGTTCCCTACTTTCATAATTAATAATATGGTCATAGAGGTACGAATAAAATGATTAAGAGAAAATTTTCAAAAAGTAATAACCAAACAGAGTGTTATAAAAGATAATATGCAAGAGTGGTGGGGTTCCTTTAGACTTGGTGACCAGGCAAGGTTTCTTAGAAGAGACGACATGGGAGGTGAGTTATGACAAGAATGAGCTACCTAGGAGAAGATCTGGGGCAGAGAAAGAGGGAAGATCCTAATGCACAAACAAGCTTGGCTCATGCAGGGACTGGAAAAAAGGATGGCTGGGCTAGATTGCAGGATTGAGTGTTGTAGCAGAGATGAGGCGGGGCAGTCAGGTAGAGCTCTGAGGCAATCAGAAGGCACTTATTTTCTATTCTAAGCCATTAGACCAATTTAAGCATGATAGTGGCATGATCTGTTTCAAATTTTAAAAGATCGTCTAGCTAACATATTGTTTTTTAACTGTGTGTCCTTAGAAAAGCTACATTATTTTTCTTGGCTTCAGTTTCCTCATTTATAAAATGGAGACAATAACATTATCTATTACATGGAATTGACAGGATTAACTGAAGCTATGTATACAAAGCACTTTGCACACTGCCTGGCACACAAAAATTGTCTAACAAATGTTTTAACCTAAATCACTATTACCACTTTAAGATAATACTGAACAGAACTAAGCATAATTCACTATCTGTATTTATGCCACATCATGACGAATTCTTTAAAAATCCATCCTGATTCCATATTCTCTAATATCGAAAAGCTGGATATCTCCATATTTAATCAACACTTGGCATTTTTCTCTTACCTGAGCCTATAATGCAACCCCAGACTATTTATGTATATGGTCATGTCCCTACTCACCACACTAGATCATTCATCTTTATGTTATCCCCAGATCCTGTATATAAGGTAGGCAGGCAAATAGGTAGGTAGGTAGAAGGTTGAACTAACAAACACATGGAGGATAAAAGTCAGGGGGTAAGAGAAAAGGTGGGACTAATTCAAATTGAAATATTTAAAAGAATTTTTTTAAATAATTAGCATATAAATATGTAATGAAATATCTTGCCATGTTTATTATTTATTTGTACACTTATTTATTGAACACCATCCTGAAGCCATAACAGAAGACATGGCCCTACATAAGCACTTACTGTCCTCCAAACTTGCCTCACCTCTCCTGAAAACCTTTAGCAACATTCTGAGAAACATGAAAGAGGTACTTCTCATATTTACTGAGGTACTGAAGAATTATGGGTAACAGAACCAACATTATGAAACCACTGTACTTTTCTTAATCTTTGCTTTCTGAATTATGTACTTAGACCTATTTGTGAGCATGCTTCAAGACAGCAGAAAAGTTTACATGTAGGATTCCAATTTCTAGGTTTACAAAGGTCCCCAAGAGTTATGGAAACATTTCCTCAACCATAAAATATGTAAATTGTTTCTACATACTTAAAATTGTTCAATGGAAGAAAAGTGATCCCATACCCAAATATAGAGGACCATAGAAATTTGAAAAATTGCTGATTCAACTGATAAAATTAGTAAAAGAACAATTTATACGAAAACAAAATCCTTTATTGGAAATTGTTCTATGATATGCAAAGGACCTTTCTATGCATCATCTTATTTTTATCTTCACAACAATGCTCTAAGAAAATATGACAGATTTTATGTCTCTATTTTATAGACAGAAAAACAGACACACTAAGTAGATGATTTGCCTCAAGTCTCCAAATCATTAAGTGGCAAAGCTAGAGTGATTACCCAGGGTTTTTCAGTATATCTTCTGTCATCCCAAACTATTTCAATACACCACAAATAGTGAAATTCATGAAAACAAAAAGCATTTTTACTTAGAAAAAGAGGAGTCAGCTATATATAAAATAAATTTGCAAGTCATATTATTAGAATTACTCATGGAATAGTATCAATCCCTTTAAGTAGGACAATATTCCCTTTTTTCATGAATAATATAATTTATTTAAAATTTAGTAGAAGAATTTCTGTTTATTCTGCAACATTACAGATGATTTCAAAATATTATTTAATATTCACCCTCTTACAGTTTGTCTTCTCTCTCTCTCTGGAGAAGTGATATATGATGGTTATGCTCTTTCTTATTCCTCATTTCCTTATCCCTACACACTCAAATTTCTACTCATCAAAAATATATATATAGCTGAAATGAAACATATAACAATATTCCCTTTATATAAGCATAATTCTTCTCTGATCATTAAAATACTGCATACTCCCTAGCTCTAGATAATAATAATAAATTTTTTATCTCTTGAATACTTATGTTCTAGACTCTGTCCTACATTCTCCACACTATCAATTCAATTCTTACAAAAAACTTTATGAAGAAGGCATTATCATCATCATCATTGTCATTATCATTATCTAGGTGGAAAAATGGAAGCAGAAAGAGGTTAAGCAACTTATTCTTGACTTTGACTAGAAAATTGGAGAACAAATTTAAACTGCAACAGTAAAGTACAACAATAACATAGCCTCTTGAAAGAGAAACCTCTTCTCGCACCAGTTTCAACCTTTCCTCTACTGGATTCAACCACCCATAAAGAAAGAATCTCCAACTAAAAGATTTCAACCCCTTCCATGCACGTCTAAGGAATACCAATCTGGGCAACCAGTGACTACACTTCATCTCCAAAGTGCTGGAGGACCCATATGCAAAGTGCCTACAGAAGCTGGCACAATGTATGTAGCTGTCAATTACTGAGTCTTCTATGTGTCTGGCATTATGCTAAGTGCTTTTCTATATATATGCATGCCATAAATGTTAAAACTGTTCTTTTTTTCCCTTGATATGCTAGATCCAAACCTGTTTCTTTGGAAATTAAGTTGGGCAATGGAGAAAATTTCTTTTTATAAAGTCAAGAACTGTTATATCACTGGGCATAGAAAACTGCTGTACAGAGGTTGTAAGGAATGACTATTACCCTGATCTCTGATGAGAACCACATGCACACAAGAAAGTAAGAAAGTGAAATATTGATTGGAAGACTGAAGTCTTTGGCTGGTCTTACCACCTAGATTTCCTCTTAAGAAAAAGGAAACTTAATGAACAAAGTTAGAAGCTTATATATAAATTTTTCCAAATCAATTCAGTGAATTATAAAGAAACTCTCTCTTTGAGCCCGTTCAAATGTTATACTTTCTTGACCTTTTCATAGAAATAGATGGTCAAGAAGCAAATGACAATCAATTGTTTAAATTAAATTTTATAAGGAAAAAAAAACTGTGTTCACATATACCATTTCAGAAATCCATATATCATGCAAAAGAAAGTGTATTAGTTTCCCTTGTTAAAACTACAGATTGGAGAAATCTGATCTCAAAATAATGCTGATTCATTTGTTCATTAAATAAGAATTCATTGGGCAAGATCTTATATTCTTTGAGTTAGACAAAGTAAAAATAAAAATGAATAAAACCTCCTTCTAGCTATGGTGCTTACAGTCTACTAAGCAAAACTGATCTCCTTGAAAGCAGCCTTTCTTTAAATATGTCAATGACTTCTTCCAGCCTGCCATGATAAGATCAAGTGACAGAAATGTATAACATTAGCCTGAGAAAAGCCACATCTCTTAAAAGCACTAAGGAGATTTTGTGTGTGTGGTATGTGTTCCTTCATAAAGTTGAATATATTCAGTATCAGTGGACCTCAAAGGAGAGAAAATCTGGGATTTCTACTGAATCTACTAAATTATCCAAATAGATTCCATATCTTTCTCCTTTCCAATCATTTTTCAAATCCTTGTTGATTAATACATTACATCCAAACAAAAAAATGTAGAGCTACTCACAGTAATAGAGAGGGGAAAAGGTAGAAAATTATGAATCTACAACTAAGGCAAGGTTCTGGGCTTCCTTGTACATTCCACAGCCAACATAAAAGATATAGATTTTCAGATTATCTGCTCTTTTCCATTGTTCATACCTCCTTTCCCTTCTATTAGCATAGAGAAATGAATTGTCTGCACATTTGCTTGATTCCACTGAGAGGCCTGAATTACTACTTGGAAATATCAATCATGCCTTTAAGATTCATCTCTACTAAAAAGCCTGCTGTGAAATGATAATGCACTAACCTGTCTCCAGTTAATGGCAAAATGATGGTTGCTTGAGAAGAAAACACAATGAAAGATAATCTCATTTCAGGGCTGCAAAATAAGAAAAGAGGCATTTAAAACATTTTAAAAGAAATATTGATATAATACAGATGTATAGCTAAGGCCCATTTAAAATTGGTCTCACTGATGGTCCAGACTTCTTTTAAATGGAACTTCCTAAGTAGCTACACTGAGTCTGCTTAACATTATTGCATAAGTCATTTTATATTTAGTCAATACTTGTTGATGCCCAATGCCCCTCCATGGCTCATAGGGGTTTGCATTTAGAAAGAGATTAACTGGAAAGATAAATTTGGGGCTGATGTAAAATCTTTCATAGAAAACGCTTCTTCCCTTAGTGTTAGACTTCATCCCCTTGAAGGAGGCCAGACCCTTCAGAGTGATTATCCTTAACATAAGTAGGGCTAGAAAGCAGCCAGTTTGACCTAATGACCACAATTATGATAAGGGTCCACACACAATTCATCCCAAAGTGAGAATATTTAAAGAGTGTCTTGGAAATTGTAATAAAACGAAAAACTAACACATCATTTTTTCATGAAGTATTTTGACATCTCAAATATTATATTTCCAATCAACAGTAATTGTTCCAGTCAGCTACATCTTTCAGGTCATAGGCAGCTATCTTAAAGAATGTTTCTTGTTTCTAGTATTCAGTGTATTAGAAACTGTTAATAAAATCTGAAACTATTATTAAGATCTGAAACTGAAGATATGAAACTAAGGTCTACAAACTGAAGATCAGAATTGTCTCAAAGGCTCATACATACTTTAAACATCACTCTCTTCAGTAGTCATCTGGTATTCACTTCCTATAATAAGCAAATAAGCTTCCACCAGAAAACTGTATGTTATAGAATTCCAGTTTGCAAACCAGACTAAATGAATATGAGCCTCATTTTCTTCGACTGTTGCATTGAAATAATTCATTGCTTTTGATCAAAATTATGTGACGCTCTCTGCACACCATAGGATTAAATCAGAAAATTTATAAACAACTGTCTGGTTTGTTTTGACATGTAAGGACATAGGAGGGTCTTGTTTCTTTTTCTTCCCTAGGCAATTTTACCTCAGACCTTGTCCAGAAATGAGAGTGCTATACTTGGCTTCTTAAGCAGGGGACTGATGATTGAACATGGACAGGCATACATTTTTATAGGGATAACTTTACTGCTGCCAATAACTGAAAGCAAGGATTGCCTAGGCCTCTACAGATTGTTTGAAGTTACTTGCAACATGACTTTCAAAATGTTTTGATCATCCAAGCCTGTTTTACAGAAAACATTTGGGCTAACAAGACTGAAAGAAGCAATATTTAATGATACAGTTCCTATTCATGTCCTTTCCATTATCTTGATAAACTTGCATTTGCTCATTGCATTTCTTTTCCTTAAAAAAAAGAGAGGGAAAAAAGCCTACTATTTCAGGGTTATTTTTAAATAAGAGATGCCACTAATTCCTGGTTACCTCTAAATAAGAGAGTAAGCTGGATTTTGTAGCAGTAATGCTTTTTATAGGAAAAGAAACCAGTCTTTCCTAGTGAAGCTTATTGCATATATAGAACAGTTAAATTTTAAACCAGCCACACACCCACACATTGTGTAAACACAAGTCATTTCTTTAAACACACACACAAGTGCTTTTTCTGGTAGTGGGTTATTAACACATGTTCACTTGAAGTTTTCCAACACTTTTTTTTTCTCTTAAATGAGGACCTCTACAATAGTAAGAATTGTGTGAAATGGAAAATATATTATGGATACTATTAGCATAAAATTAATTTTTTAATGTGATAAATTATGAGAAAAGCATAACTGAAATTCAAAACAGATGAAAATTCAAAAAGGAAAAGACATTTGGAATAGTATTTGAAGATGCTTCCCCAGAGTCTGAGCCAAGTTTTTGGGATCCAGATAAAATAAGCCCTCAAGGACTGAACAGCTGTCCTAATAACATGTGTGCAATAACCTCCTTGAGGCACTTAAAAATCAACATTTCAGAAAAAGGTTTTTTCCTGCAAAAGGTTTTGTAAAGGAGAAATTCTACATTTTGATCTACTTTCTCTCCATTGCCAAGAAAAGTAAAGTGGGAAAAATACCTCACAAATCTCTCAGTAAGTTGCTGGACAAAATTATAAATTTCAATCCAGTTATTTGCCACACTCCCAGACCTGAAAAAAAAAAAAAGAAATTAAGCTGATCAGAAAAATAAAACTAAAATACAAACATTTATTTAGTACTACCAAGACCAACCCTGGCTGCCCTCCTTTTCAAGCAAAGTGAGGATACCCTCCCCCAGTAACTTTGGTGCTACCAGAGCCAAGGACATTAGCCAATCTGGGGGGGCTCTCCCCCTGCTAATTGTTTGGAGCAGGACTTAGCTTTTCACAAAAAACACAAAAGCCTTTTTCGCACAAAATGCAAACCATATTGGGCTGTTAAGGCTTTTCCTTGCTCCAATGAAAGCAATGTGATCAGGATAAAACTAAGGAAACTTCAGACAGCCTGTGTGTGCTGGGTGGGTTAGGATCAAGGGACAGAGAGTCCCTGGGACAAGAATGCCACCCCAGGTGGTCACACTCACATTTCCCAAGAGGCTCCCAAACTGGCAAGCAGTAAATATACTCCACCTCCCCAGAGGGCCCAGTAGCCTTGGGTTCCCATCACCACCACTCCATCCCTCTCCAGCCTACATAGATCCAAAAGCGCTTGCCTTGGAAAGGAGATAGCAACAGGGCACCTATCCGCGGGTTTCCAACACCCCTCCCCAGGGCGCACATGCTCATCTCCACCTCCCTAGCTGCCGGTGATCCAGTGCCGCCCTCACCAGGAGACCCTGGCCTCCTTCCGCACTCACTTGTCCAAGACGAAGTAGAGATCAAAGGCTCTTCTGCAAGACGGCTGCTCCTGCGCGTGCAGCAGCCCCCCAGGACCGCTGAGCACCACAATCCACAGCCCTGGGAACAGCCAGCTCCCGGAGCTGCGGGCCGCAGACCGTCGGGTCACCATCCTGTGGCCGGGGGGCCTTAGACTCCCTCCTGCTCTTAGCCCCCTGGGCTCGGCAGGGTAAATAAGCAACCGAGGCTGGAGTCACCAGGGACTGGCTCTGGGATGGGAGCGCTGAGAGCAGCTGGGGCGCCGGCACCCGGGTCAGCTGGACCCACCAACTGATAGAGGGAGGGAGAGAGGGAGAGAGGGAGGTCCTGAGAGGACAAAGGGAGTCTCCGCAGCAGCCACAGCTGCCGCCGGAACTCTTGACGAATCCCAGTGGAAGCGCGATCCAGTCCTCCCCCTCCCGATTCCGGAGAGTTCCTGCAGACAATAAAGGCCCACAGCGACAGCTCGCAAGACAAGTTCCTCCCCGGCCCCTGACCGAGCCTCTAGCGCCGGTCTCGGACCCGAACAGAGAGTCCCATCCGCCCGGAAGGCTAAAGTCTGGCCGCTACGGTGAGCTCCGGGACAGGCGCCCCACGATCGCGGCGACCGCCAAACAAACTTGGAGTGGAGACCCTCCTCTTTTGGTTTCCTTCCTCCCGCGGCCCAACTCCCCTCCGCGCTGCAAAACTTTCTTCCCTGTGCTCGGCTTGGATCCCTCACAGCTGGGCCAGGCCGTCCCCTTAAGCTGAGGAGGCGGAGCGTGCCCTGGGGCCAGCGGCTTGACAGAAGCCCCGCCAAGACCCAGAGCGCGCTGGGGCCAGCTCCAGGCTAATGTGTCAGTGTGCGCCGGAGGCGGGCGGGGCCGGGTCTGAAGCCCGCAGAGCTACGCGCTCACACTTGTGGGTTCGTGCCGAGCTGGAGCTGACTAACGCTTGCCAGATTTTGAAAGGGGGAGAGGAGTTGAGAAAAACAAATGTCCTCTAGAAATTAAACATACCCGCAGATCCTGCAGGCCTGGCCTATTTCCCTCAGCTGTGCTGGAACAGCCCTCTGAGAGGTCGGAAGACCTAAGGCCAGCAATTCCCTGGGAGGTGGTGACTTGCTCAGACCACACTCAGCCCCTCCCCACCCCCACACACGCACTTCTACCTGCCATGCATGTGTTTGAGAAAGCAAACTTCCTCTTCCTTTTTTTTTTTTTTAATTTTATAGCAGCATCTCACCTAGCCAAGAAAGGGTGGGAAGGGGGGAGGAGAAGGAGGGAGCGGACTTCTTTAGGAATAAAAAGTTATACCTCAAAATACTTTGACCTGTCATTCACCCCAAGCTCCAGATTTGAGAATTTCATCTTGGAAATGATAATTGATTAAGGAGATGGACATGTGTAACCTGATTTTAAGCATTACACAATGCATACGTATATGGAAACATCGACATTATTATGAACCATTTTTATGTTTTTATAGATCACTTGAAAATAAATTTAACTAATTATAAAATAATTTGATCTTAGTGCAAGCTAGTTTACCCTACACAAACTCCTGCAGAAATTTGAAGTCTGTGTGCAATTTCTCTTCTTATTCATTCTGCACCTCCCTTGGTTAAGACTAATTTCAGAACTTGCAGCTTCACAGGCATACCAATGATTGACAGTAATATGAGATGCTACCTCATAGTTTTTATTTTAAAAGTCAATGCTTTATGATACAAAGTTCACATCCTACTTACACACTGCCTTTTAGTAATTCTTCTGTTTGTTGCTATGTGTTTTTAACTTTTACATTATCTTGATATGCAGTCAGGTCTGTCAGCTCTGTGAGGATAGAAACCAGTCATTTAACAAATATATTTTGAGTACCTGCTATGTGCCAGACGCTGTTCTAGAAGTGACAGTGCACTGGGCAAGAAGACAAGACCACTCATTCATGAAGCTACAGCGTGGTCTCCATTTTCAATTGCAGTAGTAATCTAAACAGAATCCAAGACATTATATACCTTTAGCAAGTAATGCCATATCAATATATGACTGAATAAAATCTGTGAAAAAAAATGTCTGCCAAAAATGGTGACAGCAGGTTTCAAGTTAAACAGTGAAGAAATACAAGATGTGAGACTAACCATGTACTCTATCCTCATGATGAAGTATTTTAAACACATATTTATTGGCTTCTTGATTCATTGCCACCTTGTCTTTTGGACTCTACAAATTGGCCTAAGAATCTATCTTCTAGGCCTAAACTAAAGCAAAATACCTTTATTTTAAAACTTTTTTCTTCAAACTCTCAGAGTTTCTTAGAATTTTCTGTTCTTGGTCCACCAAGTTCTTTCCTGATGATACATCCAGCTGAGGTGGTAGCTGACATATAAAGCATATTACCTTTTTTTTTGGCCTGAGTAATGAATTCAGCCCAGTTCTAGAGCTTTTTGCATTTCACTCACTTGTTCATGTAAGATCTGTAGCAAAGGAGGACATGTCCTCACCTAGCACAGACCAAGGATTAACCAAATAACTTCCATCTAATAAATGTTTGTGGGAAGGCCCTTATTTACTAGGGCAACCAGATGTCCAGATTTGTTGCAGGCTGTGGGGTGTCCAAGGACAGGGGATTTTTAGTACTAAAACTGGGACAATTCCTGGGATAGTCCCTGGCAAATAAGACTGCTGCTCAGGCTTTTTGCAAGCAATAGTGAGTAAAGATAAAAGCCAGATCAGCCTCAGGGGTTTCTCCAAGCCTTGAAGGAGTGACTGACTGCAGCAGCAGCACTTCCCCTTCTCTTCCATGAGTGAGTAGAGGAAAGGACAAGGGGCCCTGTGTCAGCCAGAGACTAACCAAACAAGGTTTCAAAATGACTTTTGTACCATGATAGGCATCTTGGGACCCTGTTTAACCTTAAATTTTAAGTCAAAAATGGGAAAAGAAACACAAATTTTTAAGGATGGGGGAGAGAGAGAAAGAGAATGAAACTTTAGACTGAATTGTTTAGATAAATAAAACAAAAATATTTTTGTATCAAATTATATGGGTGTCTGCTAAAGTATTTTGCTTCACAATCCATTCATGCCTTCGATCTTTGAAAATTATTCTTGGTATCAAATCACACTTTTAAGTCAATGTTAGAATATATCACTTTATTACCAAAAAAATCCTAATAAACCCCAAGGCATTTTAAATTCAGGTGAATGAAGCTAGAATAGCAAGAGACTGACATTCTGATGATTACTAGTTGTAAACTGTCATTGTTAAATTCTTCCATTTAAAGAGATCCTGTGGACTTGTACTCCATCTTATATGTTAAATTCTTCTCCTTGAAGAGCTCCTTGGAACTTGTATTCAATTTTATATAATTATTTATTAACTGATTTTTATTTAACAGATGTTTATTTATACATACTATGTATCTGGTAATATTCTAAGTACAAATGTTAGACTCTCTCAAGAAGTATACATTTCCAATCTATCATCAATTTATTTCTATTGTCTCCAACCCAATAAACAACAAAATTGAAAATAAACAACAACAATAAAGAAATTTAAAAAGTATCCTTGAGTTTTAAAAAATCATAATCTATATCATTTCAAGTATGATTGTATGGCCTCCGTGATGATAGACATGAGTCTTCTAGAAGTCAAGAGCCACACTGGAAGTGATTCACAGTCACATCATATGGGAAATGATTCATTACATGATATCTACAGTGATTCAGAGGAAGAAAATAAATCTTTACTACCTATAGGAGACAAAGCTTATTTCAACTTTTATCAGGTATAGTTATTAAAGAAGTAAATTTCCCCTATGTCTGAACTAGTTTCTAAGAGTGAATAAAATGCTTTTGGAAAATGCAATTCCTTCTAAATTAACAACTCTATGTATAACAACAAGGAATGTTAACCAAGCTCAGAGAAAATGATTACCAACACATGCCTTTAGAATCAATTTGTTTTAAATCCAGTTTATCAGACCAAACTTGAGACTGAGAGTGCATATAGGAGGTGCATTGGGCCTTACCCTCAGAAGCAAAACCTATGAAGGATGAGGGGAACAGGAATGGTCAGTAGGAAGGTAGAACCATGATATAATTGCAAATTAGACTTCAGCCAACCTCAAGGTGAGGATATCTGAAGCTGGGATGTTCTCTCATAGTTGTCCTAAATTGAATGAGGCAAGGGGACTGGGATTTTGTGTCCCCTCATTGACAAGTCATTAAATGCGGGCTGTATCTTTATGAGGAACATAAGCAGCTTCCTTTGACTTAAGGGCAATTTTGAAGAGGGACTTAGCTATGAGCTGGGAAAGTCCTGGGGTGGAGAAATTAGTATGTCCTGAAGGAAGAATCTAAGTGATGCAACTATAGCATCTATAACTACAACATCCAGAGCACCCACAAAATCCAAGGTACCTGGAAGTTAGCTTGATGAAAGTCCTCTCTCACATATAAGGTCAGGCCTTCACAAGACAGCTCAAGCTTGGCTTGGCATTCTGAAATGATAAAGTCATGCAGTGGTATCCCTTCTCTCATGCCTTCTATTTAGCCCTGATTCAGGTCATTTTCTTACTTTTCAATGCAATTAGTTTAATAGTGTTTTGTCTCCCCATATCTCCTACATACTTCAATGTGAATTTTTTGAAGTGCAAACTGATCACATGTTCACACACCTAGTTATTGCCAATGCAAAATCATTTCCTAACAATTTAAGGACCTATACAACTCTATATCCTCACCTTTAACAAGTCTAGTCCTCTCAAGTACTCTATGATCCAGAAACCATGATAATCACTGTTCCCCTCAAATGAACAATTTACACCTTTGAATCTTACCTCATTTTATAATCCAATTTCCCTAACACCATGTTCCAGGTATCAAGTGTTACCTCCTCTTTTTCTTCCTTTCAATTCCCTTACTGAACAATTCAGGTCAAAAGACACTAGGCAGGGCCAACCAAATGGCTATCAGGGTAGAGAGAAGCTATATTTGTGCAGAGCAGGTTATCAGAGGATGAGCACAGTGAGGAAACTGTCCCCATGGTGTAGGGAGAGGTAACCTGGGATGGGATATTGGAACCTGAGAAGGGTGAGGAAGATGTCCGCATGGCAAGATGGTAGGCCAGAATGAAGAGTCAAAAAACAGAACAGCTGAGAAGGTTACCTTGCAAGGGGGTAATAGGGAGACACAGAAGTTTGTGAACCTAAGCAAGATGAGGAGTGCTGCTTCCGTCGGGGGAAAGCTCATTGTGGAGTGCTTGGAGCCCAAGCATAGACTCATGCAAACTTGAGGACAGCAACTTACCTCAATGTCAGAGCATGAGGGAAGAAAGCAGAGTGAGGGCAACAAAATGAAGTGTATAAGAGCCTAGGCATTTGAAGAGGAATTCTGGACAAGGGACACAGCCCAGAGTAGGGTATCTGAACTAGAAGAGGTCAGGAGAGCTTCAGAACAAGGTCATGAAAGTGAGGGACACCGGCATAGGAGATCAAGATTATTTATGAAACCTTACCTAACTGCTTCAGTTCTCTCCTTTATATCTCAACAAATCTTATTCTTCTCATAGGTCCTCAGTGCAGCCTGACATGACTTGATTCATAACTCATTTTTCAAATTCTAGTCATTTTATTGCTTATCAGTGAAGCAAGGCTGGGTACTAGAAAAAAAGAAAACAGAAACTGTGGATACCAAGAATGAACTCATTCACTACTCACAAATTTCCATTGGAACACATCTCTCCACCCACCAGAAAAAGCTGAAAAAAAAAAATAAGACATTTCCTAGACTCCTGTACAGGCAAGTTTTCTCATGGTTCAGGGTCCACCCATATACACTTATGCGAGACTTTGACTCAGAACTGGGTTACAAAA